AAAGAACCACTGATTTGATTTTTGTATGTTACACTAACAAAATTTTTAAAATGCCAATAGATAAAGAAATAAACCAAAGGTTAATACTTGGCATGCTGACTGGACTCCTGAAGACCATTTTACTTTAAAGGTGACTTCTCGCCCATACTTTTCTTTTTTTTTTAAATAAAAGTAATTTTTTGGTTTTTTTAATAAGGAAGATCTGGAAAACTCATATGTGTGTGGAACAATGTTAACTGCTAGCTTATCTGTTCAGCAACAATCCCTTACTATTATTAAATACAATTGCTGGAAAAAATTGTCTCAGGTCTCAGTCTCACATCTTAATTGAAAGCAGGGATGTTAATGTATTTTTTAAGAATTTTTTTTCTGAAGTGTATATTAGATGTTAGTTTCAAACAGTATCAGTTCTCTTTTCGATATCCTCAGTGCTAATTTTCACCTTCAATAAATTATAACTTACTCATTTGTCCAAAGTTTTAGATTAGCTGTTCCTAGCTTTAAGAATAAAAGCTTCCTCATCACACTAGCTTTTAAAAATTAAAGTATTTCCAGCTAAAAACCCTTTTTTTTCCTCCCCTTTCTAGATAGTCTTAAATACACGTTTAATCATTAGAGACAGCTTGTTGGTCAAACATAAAAAAATAATTTTTTTTCCTCCCCTTTCTAGATTGTCTTAAATACAGGTTTAATCATTACAGACAGCTTGTTGGTCAAACATAAAAAAATACATAGTTGTACTTTCATATTGCTTAATAGTTTGTTGATAACTGACAAGGTTATGAAATTTAATTTTTGGAGATGGAAAAATGCCAAGGTCCCTGATGCATCTCTTACAAGAACTTATTGAAAGCAAAACAATTGTTTTTATTTCCAAAAATTAATAAGGGAATGTTTTTACAATTCCTTGATGCCTGCAAAGACATTATTAATATACATCGTTGTACTTTCATATTGCTTAATAGTTTGTTGATAACTGACAAGGTTATGAAATCTAATTTTTGGAGATGGAAAAATGCCAAAGTCCCTGATGCATCTCTTACAAGAACTTATTGAAAGCAAAACAATTGTTTTTATTTCCAAAAATTAAATAAGGGAATGTTTTTACAATTCCTTGATGCCTGCAAAGACATTATTAATATGCTGAAGCCTTCATAATTCAATCAGATTTTTTGTGTAGTGCTTGTTTGTGGGCATAAAGCATCATTTTAAGAAAAATTTTATTTAAGTAAACTACTTATAAAGAACTTCTTCCATTTAAATTGGTTTTTATTTGCAGTGTATGTAGTCCTGTAAATGTATGTATGTATACATACAGTATAGGTATAATGTATAGCCAAGATAGAATACAGCTGATTTATGATCACAGGTGTTGCTTATTATTGTGACTTCAAACAAAATGTGCTTTGCAAATAGAATTAGTCTCCTCTTCTTGCCAAGCAAAATATCTAAATATACATTGGATGCTGCTATAAGGGAGAACACCACCTTTGACCAGGCTGCAAGTATGTTATGGCCTTCATTCCACTGAAAGCTATTGGAAGTTGAGGATTAAAGCAGTTGAGAGACTTCAAACAAAATGTGCTTTGCAAATAGAATTAGTCTCCTCTTCTTGCCAAGCAAAATATCTAAATATACATTGGATGCTGCTATAAGGGAGAACACCACCTTTGACCAGGCTGCAAGTATGTTACGGCCTTAATTCCATTGAAAGCCATTGATTGCATCTCTTGGAAGTTGAGGATTAAAGCAGTTGAGAGAGATGCTTTGTTTTAGGTTTTTTCTTGAGGGTTGTGGTGGCACTGTATGGTTGCTTAATATTCAAAATAAAACAAAAAACCCCAAACCTTCCCTGTTAGCAAAGTCTGAACACTGTGATGTAGCTCTTTTTAATCTAATTTATCATTTTAGGGAACTTGCTTTTGTTCTAATGCAGAAGTTGAAACAGAAGCCGCGTGTTTTCGTTGCAGAACATGTAGTATAAGTAATAGAGGGGGCTGTATGTTGAAAAATCCTCATTCAAGACCTAAAAGAAATGACTATTGCAGGATGCCTTTCTGTGCCCTGCTGGATGGGCTGCATTGCTCTGCGATTGTGCTGCCTCCCCTGTCTTTGCAGGGGTGTTTCGTGCCTGGGGGTCCGAAATTAATGGAGGGAGAGGCCTGGATGCCACAGCAGGCACAGGTCAGGGCACGCCAGGGGCAGGGGGGCTGCCAGGTGCCTGGTGTTGGGTGCAGCCTGGTCCCTCGTGGCCCTGGAGAGCGGTGAGCTCAGCTGTAGGGTAGACACAAAGCCTTTGAGAGATTCAGTTTCTTCAGGCTGTCGCTTGGGGACTTGCAGAGCAGCTGATGCATTTCATTGGGGAAGGCAACATCAGAAAAGCACGCTTTCAGACTCCAAGTGGCTTTGGAGCAGCTGTACTATGGCTAAATAAATATAACCCTCTGTTAAGAGGAAATAACTCTTCTACCAGATACATGCACAGATGGGTTATAATCCTACTGAGGCCAGTGTTTGCCTCAACAAGAGAAAAAAACTTTGTAGTTGAGAGCTATAAATGGAAATTTGTGCTTACGCTGGCTTTTTGCAGCAGTGATTGGAGAACACTACTCCCTGCCTAGCAGGAATTAGGTGGTCATCTTAGGGAGTTTGAAAAACAAAAGGAGCTAGGGAGACGCAGGCCATGAGCTACAACAGCAATGTACATTAAAATATACTGGCCCCCAGATGTCTACAGAAGTGTCTGGGAGCTGTTCTTTTAAAGCAATGTGAGTGGACCTGGGTAACAGAGGTGTTATGGGCCAGAGGTACCAACACACTGGATGTTGGTGTGCTCAGAGGGAGCAGGGGAGGATCGTCTTCCCCTGCCACCTCCAAAATACAGATTTCACTTTGGTTAGAAAAATAATAAATTATATGCAGACAGTACTTACGAAAGCTGTTGCTGCTTCAGGAAAGAATTAGGATGCTAAAATAGTGGAACTGGTATAAGATCGTTCCAGGTGTTTGATTTTATTCTGTAATGAATGAGGGAGTTCTTTCATGAATACTTTAGTGAAGTATTGGTCATCACTTCATCTTCAAATGCTAAGATACATTAATGAAGAGGGAGTTGCTACTGATGCTTTAAACAGGCAGCTTCAAACTGAAAGCAAACCTGTAGATTAAAACAACACCCTTCTGTGCCTTAAAATAAATGGATTGTATCTCCTGACAGAAATGGTGCCAGTGTCTGGGGGGCCATGTGATGGAGTTGCATGCCTTAAAGACTAAAAAGTGACTTTAAGTTAGTGTATAGATTTACAATTGTATGTCTGTCTTTTTTTTCCTTTTTTTTTTTTCTTTTTTTTTTTGAGAAAAAGAGGTTGTTAAGCTTTAGTGTGGGAGGGAAGAGGTGGCCAGTGATTGCTTTTAAACAGTGAGGTTTTCCAGAATGCCTGAAAAGGACATGGTGCTGCTTTTGCGGTGCACGTTCAGCGGGGTCTATGTGGCAGAAGAGACAGCAGCAGATCTCTGGCGAGGGCTCGCTGTGCTCCACAGGCCAGTTTTCCACAATCCTCAGCAAATTGGTCACCACTGATTATTCTTTCCACATGTGGATTTCGTGCATGAAGCTGCTTTAGGGAATTGAAGCCAAAATTCAGGAGTTGGAAGGTTAATTATTTCCCCTGCCTTTTTGTGGGTGTGTGCCATTTGCTTGGAGGGAGAGGGGGGGAGAGTGTTAACCGTTTACAAGAACACATCTCCCCTCATTTCTCCCCGGAATGATTGTGGAAATTATTCCCAGGCTGGTTTAGTGAAGCAGCTAAGTCTGCTCTCAATAGTAGGGACTGTTGTAAGTACACAGATTAGCAAGAAACACAGTGGGTGGATATTGTTACTGAAGAGTTAGTTCTCCAGAATGAACAGAGAAGGGACGTGTCCATATTCGGCTGAGGAAATTTTTACTATTGCAGCTAGGCAAACAGAGTGTCTTTATTGCTATGGACTTGACTTCAAACTGTTTATTCAAAGACCACCAGAAGTGTCGTTTTACTTGCTTAAGGTATAAAAAGCTTGAAAAGTTGGAGCGTGGTAAGCAATTTCCTTTTTTAGCATTAGAGTTGCAGATCTGCTTATTTTAGAATTTGACTAGAGAGCTGGTGAAGTGATACTGGGAGCTGCGCAACTGACAGGTGGGATTTCTTCCAACCACTGCTGTTAAAGTCTGAACCTTTAAATTCACCGTCTGCTGCATGTTAGGTATGTGCGTGAAACTCTTCACTTGATTTTTGAGAATTCACATTCTTCCAAACTATAAGCAGTTTCTCCAATGATACTGAGAAATCTGGCACACGATATTCTTTCCATATCCAAAAAAAGAAGTATTAATTCCTCTTCACCATGCAAATATCTGTGCATAAAATTAAAAGATATATATTAACAAGTGAATTGTTTGGGAAAACCTTCTATTTCTTCAAGGAGAGGAGCTGATAAGTATAATTAAAATGGTAAATACCTTTTTTATTGGTTGTAGCTTTTTTATGTCCAAATCTGTCGTATTATTTTCAGGTAATGTAGAAGTCAAAAAATATATTAAAGAAATTACAAATTATGAGAAGTTACAAAAAAAAAAAAGGTACACTAAGAAGTTATTACAGTTGCTTAATAGGATGGGGCTTTCATGTCTTTGGAAATGGTTTGTCCTGCCATGATCTCTGCGGAACTAAGTATATTTAACTGGAGGGCATTGTGTTTAAGAAAATGGACAAAATGTGCTGGGAATGTAGGTGCAAGAGGAAGTGCGTCTGCAGGGACCGATATACTTCTGGTTTCAGAAGGGAAATATTTTCTTCTTCCTGCTAGTTTTTTTTGTTGTCTCACCTTTTTCTCACGTGTCAGCTTCCTACTTGTTGCAAGATGAAAGGAAACCATTGTCCTTGACCTCAGTCTAAAATCGAAAGTGGTACGATCTTCAGCCCCGGGCCTCTGAAGCTGCTGCTCGGGGGAATCCCTGTCTCTTTGCAGCTGCTCTTGAGAAGCTTTCTGCCAACACCACGGTCACACGTCTCGCAGAAGCTGGGCTGAGGGTACCTGGAGAATGTGGAAACCTTGTTTAAGCAAAGCTGTAAGTTTAGAAATGGCTGAAGTCATATAAATGTAGCTTGTTACGTGCAGGAACTGCCTACATGTAGAAGCCTTTCGTTTCTCTGAACCTTTTTTTCCTCGTGGTCTTGTGTGCAGGTAGTGAGTGTGAATTTTCTTCTGCTTTTTTTATTCAGTTCTGTGGCTCTGACAGTACTTTCGTGACTCTGATCTGGCAGATTTTGTCAGTAGGGGAATCTTCTGTGCTGAGTGCTCAAGGTTTTTAATAAGGAAGAGAGAGAACAAAGCCACAAATGTAAGTGGTGGGAGATTTAGGAGCAGAACTGATGTAACAACTTAATCTACTGTAATAGGTGAATTTCATCGCAGTTATGTGCAAATTAGTACTTGTTCTTTCTTTGTAAGTAATACTGTGACTTAGCATTCCTCATGCATAACTTTCAAGGCTTTTTTTTTTTGTAAGCAGCTGCTATAAATACATAGCTTTTTATGGAAAGGAGGAAAACAAGACTTGCAGTTTTATCTCTAGTGTTCGCATTTAAAAAACTCTGGCCTATTCTGTTTTTTCCATGACATTTGTTATGTTTCACAACTAAACGTGTGATGGTTCTGCCCCTCCCTTCCCCCTCTCCTCCCTTAAATGACAGAAATCTGACGTTGGTGGCTGCAGAGCCGAGGACTGTGGTCATCCCCCACCTCCGGGGCTTCAGAAGGGACAGTGGTGGCAGCAGCAAAGCCCTTTCTGCCATCTGCTGAAAGAGTCCTTGTTCCTGCAGACCAACTGCTGCCATCCCTGCCGTCTTCCTGCTAAAAATCAGTACGAGTTTTGCTCTTAACTTGGCTGGAGAGGCAGGCTTAAACAGAAGATTGGGTTAGAGAGTTCAGGGGGTGGAGGCTTGTCCCTGCGCGGGTGGGCTCTGAACACGTGCGACTCCGACACATCCGTTTCTCGTGGGCCTGAAAGCTGGTTCTCATTTGTGGTGCCTCAGATGTTGCAGTTGTGGGAAAAGAACAAAAATTTGTTTCCTTTGGAGTGGTTGTCAGGAAGGGGGTTGCAAAGATGGGAGGAATATACATGTCACGGTAATTGCTAAAAGCGCTGTCTTACAGGATGTAAGACCTCTCCTTCCTTTTTTTTTTTTTCATATTGTTTTATTTATTTTGTTCTCTGATTCCAAAGTGTGCTTTTATGCTTGTGGTAATCATAAGTGATGTAAACAGATGAAAATATGTACCAAAGCTAATCTACTTAGAGCTAGAAATGAGTACATTCTTTCCCTTCTTTGTTCGTTTGAATTTGTAATTGCATGCAGGGAAGGGATTTGATGAGGTGGTTTGGCATTCTTACCTAATCCCTAGACAAAATTAATAACAATGTCACGTTTGCACCTTGAATAGGGCTGACTGGTGCTCCTGAATCGCCCTGTGTGTCCCCTGGACACTACTGCAGCCAAGGCTAGTGTATCACTGATGCGTATATGCCTTATAGGTGACAATTCTAATAAAAGCTAAAAAATTAAAATTTTTATATCCATAGTAAACCTACGTTCACTGCTACATGCTTATCATGGGTTTATTATTGTGTATGGCATACAGTCTCATGGGTAGGCTGAAATAGGAAGAAATGTTTCAAGGAAGCTTCATTTGTACTTTAGCCATCCTTGGAATGGGATTTAGGCTCTGTAGACTGGGATTCCAGTCTCTGTGTCGAGACTGAAGGTGATTGAAAGGGTAGGGCACTGGCCTGACACTGAGTTGGGTTCCCTGCTCTGTCATAGACCTCTTCAGGGAAGTCACTTTATTGTTTCTCTCTGACTTAGTCCCCTTCAATAAAAAGGGAATAATAGTCGTTCACTCCCATAGAGGTGTTGCCAGAGTAAATGCATTAAAGAGTATATAGCGCTGTTATGCTATGACTGTGAGGCCATACAACTGTGTCAAATAGAAAGTCCTGTAATTCATTTTCTGTACTACAGTGCAAGAAATGAAGATGTGGACAATAAGAGGAGTACCCCTGGCTAGCATTGTCATTTTCTTAAAAAACAAAGTACAAACCCCCCCAACCAGTACTGTTCAGGCAGGTGGAAGAGCCCTTCCCCACAGCTCGTGGACTGTTCAGCAGCATCACAGAACGCTGCGTCTGTGGAGTGTTGGTGAGAGATCTCTAGTACAACACTGCCATGTATATATTTTAATGTTGTAGCTCTTCTGCAGATTCGGGCAGGAGAACTTTTATGTGCTTTAGAAGACATTATGATTTTTATATCAAAATAGCCTTAACATTTACATCAGGGTCGGGGGAGAACTATGGGGTATTTTAAGAAGTAGTATTCTATACCAGTTTCTGAATTTTAGTTCATCTCTTCAAAATGAAGATGCTTTACCTGACATCATGCAAATGCAGTCTGTATCCGCAAAATATGAAGGAGTGATCGGTGGACAAAAGTGAGATCAAGGAATTCCAGAAGAATAATCTCCTATTGGCTACCACTTTGGTCTTTTGTGCAAAACAGAGACTAAATTGTCTACCTGTTAAAAACCCAGAATGTTGCATGTGATGCCTTGTGAGGTTGGATGAGTTGGTGTTAATACATGTCTTTAGCTGTTGCAGTGTGTTATGTAAATGTTAAGTATTCCAATAACATCCAGTTTGTTTGTGGGCAAGTTCCTTCAACTACTTTCTTCAAATGAAATTTTTCTTCAGTGTAGCAACTCTTAGAATGGTTTTTTTTGCCTTGATTAATTTGTAGACCTCTCCCAAAAGCGGGAGAGCTCTTTAACAAATGTCAGCCTGTTGACAGAAGACTGGATGTTTGTTCTTATTTGGAGTTTTTTTGAAAATAATAAAGTCATCAGAAGCTGTGGGAACAGTGGGAACATAAGCTGAACTAGACTATTTGAAATAAGAGTGCTGTCTGGCTGGTGTGGAAAAATCCTTCAGAGGCCACTATGGATGGTAAAGAAGCAGCAATCTCAGAATTTCTTTTTCTTCTGTGTGAGAGGATCAGGTTAATGGAATCCATACACCTGAAGGGTTGATTAGTTCATCAGCCTTTCATTCTGAGAGTGAAAACTGTATTATGTAAAGTTTGGGGGGTTGGTTTTGTTTTAGTTTGGGGTGGTTTTTTTTTTGTGTGTGTGTTAAAGCAGAATGATTTCTTCTGGAGATGGTCAAGTATTTAGCACTGATTCTCTTATCATTTTTTCTAGTACATTGCTGTGTGACTTTCCAATCATTTATGGCCTGTTTGTTTGGTTTTTTTTCTCCACAATTGGGAAGAACTTACTCTTCTTGTCAATAGCAATTACATAGTTTGTATATTTAGCAGATAAAGCTATTAAAATGTAATGTGGGATTATTGACCCAAAATATTATGACTTCAGTAAGGATGTATTTATATTGTTCCAGGACTCGGAGAGCAAACTATGTGAGTGCAGGAGGAAATGTAAAAGCATGTTCTGTTTCTGATCTGCTTAACACTCAGAGAATTCCATGTGCATGTGGATTAATGTGTAATTTTTAGTTTTTCCTGTGATATTGAACTTGATAGTTGCAGCCTTAATTTTGTGTTTTACTCAGAACTGAGTCTTTTACTCAATTTAAAATAGCTTTGTAAGGACTCTTAATAGAGGTCACTCTTCCTCGTGCTATTACTGAGTGACATTTTTCCTTTATAGTTACACAGTGCAGGTGTTTTGTTTGGCTTCAGTTGGGCTTGTTGAGTTGAATCTGACTTTGCTCTGAGTAAGTCTGAAGCTGGTGTCACTTATGCCCAATTGTGGAAGTGCTTTATAATGTTAGTAAGGATACAAATAAGCCACTACAGAAGTGGAAGAGGCTCGCTTTGTATTTGATCCAGTATTGGTGCCAACCATCTGCTCTTTCCTTCCTCCACTGAAATCCCTGTGGCTACAAGGAGGAGATCGGGCAGGTAACTGGCAGGGAGCTCCGAATCTGATTAAGAAATTGGAGTGCTCTCTGGGCCCCTGGATTCTTTAAACCTTGCTGGTTTCCACCCTGTGATGATCCATGTGCTTGTCCATGTCTTCCAGTGTTCCTCCCCCAGTACTAACCAGTGTGCATTTCCTGAGCTGCAGTGCCCGACAGCCCCAGTCATGGCCGAGGGCTCACTGTACCCTGTAACAGACCAGCACAATAAAAAGACCCTTTTATATTCAACAGTGACACAAAACTTCTTAAAAGACATAATTTTAGAAATTTGAGCTAGAGTCCTGTCAGTGCTGTTAAAGACCAACTACTTGACTAGTTTTATAATAGATTAGTTTAGTTAATACCGGCATCTGGCTGGCTGCAAGCGTGTGGATGTGGGCAAACCAAGATCAGCACTGCTTCAGCTTAAATAACTGCTGAAAAACAAGAAGATATTTCTGGGTCGAGAGAGGCATAGAGAGGCATATAACAAAAGAACAACTATGTTATTATTTGTGTGACCTTTTTCCTTCATTTTTGGCCCCCTCCCCCCTCTTTGGTTATTGCTACCCTGTTGCATCATGTCTCAAATTAGACTTCTAAGCTCTTTGTGGAAGAATCCCCATCTACCCCGTTAAAGATAATAGGACTTTATGACCTCAAAATACTTCATGAATATCAGCGTATTGGGTTTCAGGTATTGTTCTCATTTTATGAACTGATCTGAAGTGGTCTTTTTACGATGCATGTCTGTAGTAGAGCTGGAAATTGATCCCAGATCATCTGATTTTCTAGCTCTGCTATTAGTCCCTGCAGTTCTCCAGCCAGACTTGGGTAAATGATGATGCCTGCTTCATGGTGTCAAGAGTGTCTCTGCTGAGAGCTATGGTCTAGGTATTGAGTACATTTATGTCTCTCATGAAGAAACCTCTGGGGATGGAAAGTGTCATCATCTCTATGAACTTTCACCTTTCTCTTCCCTTATTTGTAGGCTGTTACCTCTTACAAAGCCTTGAAGGAATCCGTGAAGTGCTCAGACAGTGGTATTTCATACACTGGACACCTACGTGTGTGTCTGGTGTTGTGATGGA